AGGGTTTGCCTTCGTTGCGCTAATGCTACTGCGGTCATGCTCGATGGAGAGACTAAAAGATATTGCCAGCAGTGTGGCAAGTGAGTTCAATTCGTGGTGCTTGTGTTTCGAAATTCACTAATTTTTTTTTATCCATTGTCAAGTTTGTTATGTTAATCTGGTGCTTACCAACCAGTTCTTGCTGATTTTGCATCATGTTCAGGTGTCTGATGCTACTGGTTTGTGATCAGTCATTGGTATTCGATGGTGGTGTGCATCTTTTACTTAATGGCAGTCGTCGTTAGATTAATTTTTTTTTGTCACACGTTATACTCTTATAGAATGCATATTCTTACTTGTTCACTTCAATGGCATTGCATGACTTTCCTGCTTTAATTCTATCGTTCATTCTATATTTTTATTCTACTGGGGCGGTCTTTAAATTGTTTTCTCAATCATGGAAGTGCTCCATGTATTGAATTAATTCTACATGTTGAGTGCGTCCTTCCCACCTTTTCTCCCTTATAGTGCACCACATGCTTTTCTGGAAATATTAGTCTCTACGAGATTCATGATGATGAGTTAAAAGTTTAGCTACTAATGCTTGGTGTTTGTCTCCAAAAATTTTTCAGGTTTCATGTTTTATCTGATTTTGATGAAGGCAAACGGAGTTGTCGAAGAAAATTAGAGCGCCACAACAATCGACGACGAAGGAAACCTATTGATTCCATTGCTGCTATTGAAAGTGATGGAGCAGGCGTGCATCTTGAAGATGTTTCTTGCGATGGAGATGTGGGGAAAGGTAATCTAAACCAGCTGGAGCAAGAGTTATGCTTGCTTTATTGTTACTTTTCTCATTGGCATGTTTTTCTTACAGAGAATATTTTTTTCAACAACCAAACTGATCAAAAGGAGGTGGTGCATTTGGATTCTGAAGATGGGCTGGTAGCCTCCACTGTGTGTTCAGCACCCGACTTGCCGAATAACATGGATAGCGGGTTAACTTTTGTGCCAATGGGTGAAACTCAACTGGATGGAGTAAAAGATAATTCCAAATCTCTTGCTTCATCCTACTGTGAAAATAAAAGCACGTATTCATCAATGGTGGGTCCTTATTGGAGTGATGCTTAAAAGTTTTTTTTTCCTCTCCTTTCTATTTCTGTTCATGTTAGGACATACGATGACTCCAAATCTCCTTGTTATAGTGTCCAACAGGCCGAATATCATTCAAGCTGTATGATTGGAATCCAGCAGAGTTCCCCAGGAGACTTCGGCTCCAAGTATTTTCATCTTTACAGTTTAGTACTTAATGAAGAAAAATTCTGTTTAGCAGAGATATTAGAATTTGGTTAATCTGAATTCAAATGCATTGCAGATATTTGAATGGTTGGCCAGTATGCCTGTTGAGTTGGAGGGATATATCCGGCCTGGTTGCATAATTTTGACTGCATTTGTTGCAATGCCAAATTTCATGTGGATAAAGGTGATTTTGAGTTGATGTTTTCAAATATAACGTTAGTTATAATACGGTAGCATGTTTACTTTCTATATCCTGTTGATTGTAACTATCAATTTAAGATCAGGCTTTTTAGTCATTTAAGTACTTGTATAGCTAATTAATCACTTCATGTAATAGCTTCTGCATGTCTGTCCCTACCCATAATTAATTAGGCTGCATTGTCCTCTCTGAAATCTTTGTCCTCGTGGTTCCATGTTTCCTTGTCACCGAAAGTTTATTAAACTAATTAATGTCCCAAACCACTGACAGTTACTTGAAGATCCTGCGACACATGTGCACAATTTTGTAGTTGCACGTGGAAGACCTCTTTGGGGGAGTGGCAACATGTTTGTTTATTTAAACAACATGATTTTCCATGCTGTGGAAGGTGTGTCAAGAATCCAGTATTTTAACTTTTTATTTGTGATGAATATGGGCACGTTTCATGAAACATTCAACTATTCATTTAAAGGTTACCCACCACCCCTTTTTTATTTTTTATTTTTTATTCATGAGCTATGGCCTTGATGCAAGTTATCCATTTTTTGCTACACTTATTTCATTTGATGAAGATATAAAATATTCTATCATATGCCAAAACTTGAGAAAAAATTTCTTACTGCATTATCTTTTTCCTTTATCTTGGAAATCTAGTTGGCCTTCTTTATTTGTTAGTGGATGTTGTTTCAGGTGGTTGGTAGAAGGCCTAAAATTTTAAGCAACAACTATGTGGAATATCAACTATCCCGATAGGGTTCACCGACCTCGGTGAACATGTTGATTGTTGAATTTTACCAACCATCTAAAATATGAAACACCAGAGCACACAATATCTACAAAAGAGTTAAATAAGATTACTAGATCTGATTGAAGGTTTTAATGCTGTCCAATGACTAGAGATTGAGCCCATATTTTCTTGAAATTCTTTTGGGAATATGTCCATTGTTGAATTCTTGTACCGTTTGTCTTTTAAATTTACTTAATGTTTTCTTGTGATTTTTTTTAAATATGTACAGGAGGAAGTGTGATGAAACTTAAGATGGATGTGCAGGCTCCAAGACTTCACTATGTTCATCCTACATGCTTTGAGGCTGGAAAACCCATGGAGTTTGTTGCTTGTGGAAGTCATTTGCGACAACCAAAATTTAGGTATTAAAATAATAGAATTATACTCACTTGAGGTTCATTTTGACCACCAAAAATTTCCCTCTACATGCTTCTCCAGACTTATCTATATTGTTATCATTTGGTTTTTTGGTAAAAGGAAAGGTTTAGCTACCAAATCGCTTCTTTTTTGGTTATTTGGTTCTATTGCATTTCTTTAAAATTTCCCTTCATTATTCCTGCATGCAACTCTCACAATCCATAAATCGAGATTATGCATCCTGCATCTTATTAACTTTTAATTTTTGATTCTATAAAAGATTTATTAAGGTTTATATTTTTCTGAATGATGATGCTTACCAAAATTTGGATAGAATATTTGGTTGCTTCCGGGGCAAGCTATTTGGTTGAAGACTCAAGGATTTGGCACCTAAGCGATCCTGCTGCTAAAAAAGATTCTGAAGTCTCCCACTCCTGTAGTATTAGTTGGAGTGAGGCCCAGATACATGCATTGTCTGAAAAGAAAGTTAATTTCTTTATTTTTTTTCCTTCAGTGCTGGGAGATAGCTTTGTTGTTTTATTTGGCATCTTATTGACTACTTTTCTAAACCAGCAAATAGTAGCCTTGAATGCAGAAAGATATTTCGTGATAAGCCACTCCCTCAAAGGCCAAATAAATAAGAAAAGTGGGGAAATTGCATGCTTGTACATATGGCTGGAAGAAATTAAATATTCTGTAAACTGTGGAGTTTCTTTGCTTCATTGTATATATGCTTAAGAAAAGGGTCCATGCCTATCACAATAAATTTCATTATCTATGCTGAGAAAGTCACTTATGCTCACAGGTCTCTTGTATCTTTCTCTGGAAAGTATCTTGCACACGATCACTCTTTTGTTTCTCCCCATTGTCACAACGAAGGTGATGCTAAGTGTAGTGACCACCAGTTATTCAAGATATACATCCCTCACACTGAATGCAATCTTTTTGGCCCTGCATTTGTGGAGGTATATTTTCCATCTCACGTTCTTTAATTATTTACTCTCACCATTCATCGTATCCTTCAATGTTTAAACTAACATCCTAACACTGACTAATATAAAATTAGGTTTAGACTTATTGACGTGGGAATAGACTAAGAAAGGGAAATATTGGTTATATCTTCTTTTCTAGTATTTTTATTCTTACATTCCTCTCATAATCTTTTTGTAAATGCACTGTGTAGGTGGAGAACCAATCAGGCTTGTCAAATTTTATTCCCATACTCATCGGGGATAGAGAAACATGTTCTGAAATGAAGATTATACAAGAGCGGCTTGATATGTCCCTGCTTTTGGAAGCTACTGGTTCTTCACAGGAATTTTGTGAAAGTTCTTCATTGAAACAAAAAGTATATTCAGAACTCATGACGGACATATCTTGGGTACTTAAAAAGCCTACACCAGAGCCACTGCAGCACATTTTGAATTCGTCACAGATTCAAAGATTCACTCGTTTGTTGAAATTTTTGATATGCAATGACTCATGTGTCATTTTAGGGAGAGTTTTAGAACATCTTAAGATTGTTATGGAAAATGTAGAAACAAATGGAGCGGTCAATGGCTTCAGCTATCCTGAATTAAGTTTTTTTGAGAAGTATTTGGACTATGCTAGAGACGTTCTTCGACTGAATCTTCGTAAAACTGGAAATCCGGTGCTGAACTTAGGATATCTAAAGCCCAAAGGGGACTATGATTCTCAAAGCGGCTCGGAGAACAAATTGGTTTCAGTTGTTCCAAGCATTGGACTGGTGAGAATTTCAATTTTGCTGCAGGGTTTCTGATATTTGAATTTGTTTTTCATTCTTATTTAAATTATCTAGATCTATGATTTTTGGATAAGTAGCCTATAAATTTTATAGTAAGCAAATAACCAAGTACACAGGAAGTTAACAAACAAGCCAAGTGAGTCAAAGTTTTAAAAAGGAAATCATAGAGACTGAATAATGTAAAAATGGAACTCCAAAGGGAAGCTCTAAAGTGGACAACCTCCATAATCTCCTCCACTTGAATTTTTATCAGGATATGTGGTTTTCATGCTAAACTTCTTAGAACTTTTACTTTGGGTTTGAAGGGGTGACCTGTGAGCAATATGTGAGAGTACTAATAGGGATATATTCGGAATATTATTAGTATGCTAGTGGGGGTATTTTGGTAGTTAGTTAGGGTCGGGCAGAGGAACTAGGGAGAGGAGGGGTATCATTGAGAATATTTTAGTGTGATGAACTTGGGAGAGAGATAGCACTCTCGAAAGACTATTTGTAATTTCTCTTTGATGTTGCAATATAGTTCTATTGTCACTTTCTGGTAGTCGAGATCCTAACGAATTGGTATTCGAGCCTCGATTCTTGCCATGGGTCTTGTATTAGAGTAGTTGCAGAGATTATTGGTTGAAGAGGGTGATTTTCTAAAGGAAGTGCAACGGGAATTAGAAGAAGTGTGGCGAGTGATGGGAGAAATGTGAAATCGATTGACAAATTCAAATTGTAGAAGGGCAGGAAGAGAATAGAAATTTGACGAGTGCAGAGCCAAGCTTGTGGTAGTGGTAAAAGAGACATTGATGGTGGAAGGATAAACTTTGAGTAAACCCGTCCTAAAGTTATTAGGCTTTCGGAAGCAGGTGGAACATTGTACTAAAAAATGTCGACCGGAGCGTGATGGAAAATCAATCCAGCTTTGGAAGGGTTTTCGTGCCAGGATCCCTTGAGAACATACAAGAAGAATAGTTGTCGACTGAGGGTGAGGATATTGGAGAGGAGAAAAAGAAGGCAACAAACCCAACAAAGTAAGTTCGAAAAGAAGAATGAAGGAGAAATGGATGGGTGAGGAAGGAATGTCAAGAGTATGGAGGACACATGGCTGAAATTTCAAGGCAGCCGGCAAGTGAAAGACACAACAGATGAAGAAGTGGCAGAATGGGAGGAGGTAGTGAAAAGTCAGCCATGGAGGTAGTGACCATTCAAGAGGAACTGGAGTTGCAAAAGAAAGAAGGGAGAAAGAGCTCTAATCACGTGACCCATGTGAATGGAGAAGATTCTGGAACAAAGCGTGGAGAAGATTATATAACAAAGTAAGGCGCAGGGTTTGAAAAGAATGAAGCAATTGGGTTGAGCTGGCTGAATTTCAATAAGGTTGTTGATTCCCATTTCTTTTTAAAGGCAAAAATAGTGGATGTTTTGGCAAATGGGTTTTGGGCCGGGTTATTCTTGGTTTTAGACCCAGAATCTGACCTGATTTGGCAAACACCCTACCATGTGGAGAAAGTAACCCTAGCCGCTGCAAGGAACTCCTCCTGCTGCCGTTCACCTACACTGCCAACACCATTGTGCTAGGGCAACTTTCATTGCCGACATTTATATTGTTGTCCACACCCAACTATTGCCCTCTGCCACACGTCTACATGTTGTGTGCGTTGCAAACACCTCAGAATGGATTCAGTGTCACCCCCATTTCATGTAGCCTTTGCTTCGACATCATACCGTCGTATGTCGTGTGTCCATTTGCCATACACCATCGTCCACGGTCATCTGTCGCACACCTATGGTTGCCACCGTCTGGTGCACACCCCATCAGAGCAACCGACCCAACTAAGAGCGGGGTAATGTGAGAGTACTAATAAGGACATTAGTTAGGGGTGGCATTATGGTAATTAGTTAGGGGTGTGTTGGTTATAAGTGGTAGAAGAATAAAGAGATTTATAGTGCATAAGCAATGGACATGAAGATGTTCTGTGTGTTGTTTATAAGTGGAGGAAGAATAAAGAGATTTAGAGTGCATAAGCAATAAGCAATGGACATGAAGATGTTATCTGTGTTTTTTTAGTCCTTCCAAGGCAAAGGGGGCAGCAACTTAGAGAAGTTAGCAGCGAGAATTTCTTTTTTGATTGACATTACCTGTATTATTACCTCCCAGGCTTACAGTGTCCTTACTACCAATGGTTCCCAACCGGCCTCCACCCTCTTCCCTCGCATTTGGCAAGGAAAATGCCCTAGAAAAGTAAAGTTCTTCTGCTGGGAGCTTAGTCATGGGGCGATAAATACCCATGACAGGATACAAAGAACACATCCATACTTAGCTCTCTCTCCAAATTGCTGTCTTTTCTGTTATGGGGCTCATGAGACTCAGGGCCATCTCTTTATCCATTGTTCATTTGCATCTCGTTTTTGGAACCATCTCCTCACTGCCTTTTGGATGGAAGACAGCCCTTCTCAACAAGCCATCAACCTTTCTTGATCAACTTTTGGCGGGACATCCTTTCAAGAAGGAAAGAGCAACTCTTTCGGTACAGTTTGTTCGGGCCTTTCATTGGAGCTTATGGTTGGAGAGGAACAATAGGATCTTTAATGACAAAGCCCTTCCTTTTGACATCTTTTTTAATAGAGTTATTTTTCTAGCTCGTGGTTGGTGTAAATGTTTCTACCCCTTTAATTGCTATTCTCTAAGAGTTCTTATTATAAGTTGGAAAGCTTTCTTGTAATTGCCTTTTTGGCCTTTTGTATATTTCATACCATCAATGAAATATTGTTTCTCATAAAAAAAGGAAAAATCTAATTTTCTTTGGAATTATCTTGCACAAGATTGCTTGAAGAGTTTCTCGCTCAGGATATAGACTCTATTAGTAAGATGAAGAATCAAAGATTTGATAGAAAATGATTTAACTTCCAGAAAAGCCTATTATTTCGAAGGATTGAGGAATATCTTTGAATAGTTTGTAGGAAGGCTGTAAAATCATGGATTTCTCTATTGGAACACCAAAAGAAAATCACGATATAATGATTTTCCAACTCTCTCTCGCTCTCTAATAGAAAACAGAATTCCATGATGTAACTATGCAGGCTTGGAGCTTGTTATTACATAGATACTTTAAAATATTTGTTGTTAGCGATGGATTTGCTGATTAGTTGTAAGACTTAAACCTTCCTCCTTAACAAGCTAAAAAATGAATGCTTTCGGATATTAAGTTGTTTGGTGAGGTTGACTATCACAAATCTTCTTTTGACCAAGAACACAGAAGGTCTCCCGGTTCCAGAGCATACGAGTTAAGCTTAAAACCAAGCTAGCTGTCAACTATATGTGAACTACACCTATCTTCTTTGAAATTGACACAAAGCTGTAGTGAGAGAGCCAGAAACTCTCAATCTTTGAAGGCATTGGGCTCCAACTCTTTATTTCTTTTTTAAGAAAACGTTGCTCGCAACAGAAGTTTTGTAATGGTCTCCTACCACCTTAATTGCCCCGAAAGTATGAGCTATCAAACTCCCGCAGAATAGTTCTGGAATCTTATTACGAGCTTGAAACATGACCTGTAAATTGTTTATTTGTAGGAGCTGATTGGTTATAATTTTCAGCATGGGCCTTAAACAGGAATTTCTCGGTTATATTTCTTGTATTTGTTTTACCTGCAGAAAACGGAGGCAAGAGAAAGTGGCCATTTTCAAGCAGTTGCAGGTTCATCAACTTCTATTGGTAATGTGGAAACAGTGCCGCTTTTAAACGAAAAGCTCGGTGATAGAATGATGGTTCAACAGCATTCAAGAAAGCCATGCGGTCTTCTATTCTCAGGGACTCTTTTTAGGCGTCAGACTACTTTATTTGCAGTTACCTTCATTACAGTTTGTTTCGGAATATGTGCAGCCTTTCTACATTCACACAAGGTTGGCGAGTTTGCTATTACGATCCGCAGGTGCTTGATCGATAAGTTTTAGACGTGAGAAGAATGATCTGAACTTGAAAAAGCAGTCAACTTCTGATCCATTCATTTATTGCAGCTGAAAATTAGTTCAAGAACTGCCAATCTGTGGCATCCTTCTTCGCCAGCGAGTTTGAAATGGATGCCTTGACAAAAGCTTGGTCTCACACACCATTGCGTTGGGTGTGTTTTAAAGCAAAAAAGCCTCATTTTATTGTGAATGCTGATTTACCGTCCTACTTCCAGTCGTCCGGTGGGAATTCCGTGGCGACTACATGGAGTAAAAAGTTCGTTTTTGGTCGGACTGGATGTGGGATTCCTAACTTGTGTACATTTGTATCTCATCTGATGTAAGTTGAAGCAGATGCTGGACCAGTGTGTTGTAATAATTTCCAGGTTTCACCGCTAACAATGAAGTTCTCATTTGTCGCAGGTTAGACTACTCAGCCTTTTACACTAACTTCAATTCACCCCCTCCCCCAAATCTTACACACAGCACAAATGAAGAATAAAATGACCAAATCTACAGAAACCTCCTTGAATTGGAGATTTGTTTGAGCTGTTTTTCAGGTTTCCAGGTAATGGCGCAACCATTCTGAAGTTTTTGAGACTGATAGGAAGGTTTTATATTGACATACTATTTGAGCTTTCAATGCTTTCAAAGTCATATTTCTACTTTGTATTCCCATTTTCCATTTGTTGATGCAGTTGATATGCACCAAATCTATGTCAACCCGAGTATAACTCAGCATTTCTCGAGTATAACTCAGCATTTCTCTAGTAATGACCGGATCTAATGAAACCTCCTTGAACAAGAGATTTCTTCTTCTAGCTTTCGAGGTAGTGGTGCAACCATTTATATTGATACAATTTCTGAGATTTCAGTGCTTCTGAAGTCGATATTTCTACTTATATTTTGTCAACTCGATCTTCAATATGGTTGATATAGACAAATAGATTGATCATGTTGGGGTTTTTTCTACATTTTTTTTCCTAGCTTGAGGTGTACCCAACCAAGCTTGAATGTTTCTTTCGGCCTTGCACCTGTGGTGATATGGATGTGAGATGGAATAACTAGTCTATGAACACGGGTAGAAATGTTGACATCGAAAGCATTGGAAGCTCAAAGAACGTAGCAATCAAAACTCAAAGTTCAAAATTTTCACGATAGTTATAATATATCAATTAAAACCCCAAAAACACAGCCATTTATGATCTTTGTAATATATATTTTTTGAAATAGTTGTTTAAATACCAAAAGTTTTGTTAGATTCAAAGGAGATATGATTCAATGGCCACACGTTTTCATTTTGTTTAAATGATTTCTTGGCTGTTTGGGAAAAGAAAAAAACAACGAGCCAAATGATCAAGTTGGGTAATCTTCAAATTGCATCATTCTGACTCAGATCCTAATCTAAATTCATATTATTAAATAGGATTGGACAAATTGCAACCAACCATCTTGTCTTTAGTTTCAAAAAATAAAAAATAAAAAATCTCCACCTTGTGTAATCTTCAAATAATTATTTTTTAAAACAAATATTTAAAATAATTTTAAATTACTCGAGCTCCAAGTTTGTTTTTTAACCAATTATTAGTACTCAAGCATTAATAAATTCTCAAGGAGCTAGACATATGCCACAATAATATAAAGAAATAATTAAAATAATCATATATACATATTACTTCCAGAAAAAAAAACCATTAGTTTAAGTATTAAAAAAAAAATCCCAAGTTGCCACGAATTATTAACAATAGAAAAAGGAAAAAAACACATTAGGAAAATAATATTGAACAAAGAGCTGCGGCCATGGGCAGCCTCTGATTTTATTTACTGCGTATTCCTATTCCATATGATCCCAATGAAACCACGGCTTAGTTGCAAATTCTACTACTCTTCCGTTCACCCTATTATTTTCTTTTTTCAAAAAAAGTAATTTTCTAATATTGCTGGATCCCAGGGGCGGTTATTTTTCGGGAATGTCCGACATCTTAAGATGTGGATTTTTAGATGCCAGAGATTTTAAATGTACCGCATCTTCCTATTCCAGAAAACTGAAGGCTTCTCAGTCTAACGACGGTTTATAGTGAGTGCAGTAAATTGAGCTAGTAAGTCAAGTACAAAACAACCATTATCTACAAACGTACGGGCACATCCCAATATTTATGGGGTTCCATCTCAAAATCAATTGGAAATGAGAGGAGTAATCCATGTCGATTATAAACCACTGTTAGGTTCATCCTCTTTTCAACGTGAGATTTTTAACATGCCCCCTCAAGATCGTGGCTCTTTTGGCTCATCGATCTTGGCCGGATTCCATTTTTGGACCGGTTGCTGGTTTGAGGGTTTTGGGCTCTGATACCATATCAATATTCATATTCCATCTCAACTCCCTTCATCCTCAGCCACATCCTCATCATTTAAAAATAATTCGGACTCTAGAAAATATTAAAAAATTATTTATAAAAACAGAATTATAACGTGAATCGATAAAAAATAAGAAGAAAAATTTGGAGTAAACTCTCTCATGACACCGAATTTACATTATACTCGAGCACTAAACAGAATAAGTATTAGTTTGATATTGACTCGAGCAGCAAACTTTGAATTCGGGCTCCGACGTGGCCCCCAATGTCCACGTCACGCGAGTGACACGTAAGCCCACATGGAGTTTTTCTTCAATAATTTGGGCACTTGAAAATTGAAATAAGCTGCCAAATAATTGGGTTTGTTATTTTTCCAGCTTCCGTAGAGCTGGACACATAAATAAATATCAGGGCAGCCCCAGCTCCCATTTTACACATAACAAGAAACAGAAGAAGAAATGGCGATTGATGAAGATTTGGAGAAGCCATTGATGAGATCAAGAGAAGAAAAAACTGATGAAAATGGAAGCTGCAATATTATTATTGGGAATGGGATGGTTTATTTCAGCACCTTCGTTGCTGTTTGTGGCTCCTTCCAATTCGGATCATGTGTAACCAACCCTCCAACTCTCAAATTCTCTATCATTTGTTTTTTATTTTAATTCCTAAGTTTTCTTTTTAATCTTTCAAACTGATTAATTCAAATGTTTTAATACTGGTTGGGTTCATCTATTTTCGGTTTTGATTTATTTTTGTTGAGTTATCTACTTTTCAAACGTTCATTTTGGTAATTTTTTTACCAATCTTAGTTCGTATGCTTTCAAAATTTTTATTTTGATCGTGTAATTTTAGAAAGTAACCATTTTGATCCGTCCATTCTCATTCTTTTATCATTTCTTTCTATCACAATTTTAACGTAACATATTTGTGTATTAAAGAGTTTTTATATATATATATATTTGTTTTAAAATATCCACTTTCAAAATTGGTCATTTTAAAAAATATACGACAAAAATCGGTGTTCTTTAAAATGAACAAAAATTAAAAGTACAAGATTAAAGTGGACGTTTTAAAAGTTCAGGAACTAAAATGAACCAAAACTAAAACTAAAACGATCAAAATAATATTTAACCCTATTTTAAATTATTTGAATTCTTGAAATTTTAAAATATCTATTTCAGTTAATCATCTGATATTTGCTTACCTAGCACATTTGTATACATATTTAAAATTAAGTTATTAATTTCTCAAAAGCAAAAATGATCAAGCTATCATTATAATAGATTATATAATGGATATTTTAAAAGTTTTTCAGAACAAAACTTAGAAAATTTAACTTGAAACTAACTACCCAATTTGTGGTCCAAAAATATATATATATATATATATAGCAACAAAAAATAGTTCAAATTTAGTTTAGATACTATTTTTTACTTGTATTTATTTTAATCTATATATTTTTTAATTTTATTTATTTTAATTACTGTATCTCCGAAGCATCTATTTTAGTTCATACATTTTTAAAATGAACCAAAGTGACAGAAAATAATATCTAAACTTTCTATGAATTGGAAATATGTATCAATTATCGTTGAGTTATGCTTAAAAAAAATTGTATTTTGTAATTAAAGAATATCTGAGACAAGTTTAGCCGATCAAGACATGTGTAATAAAAGATTTAATGTGATATAATTAAATTGTATTAATTATTCTAAACTTTTATGATCCATTTCTCTTTGGTGAATTGAATATTATTGGGTGTTCAGGTGGGATTCTCTGCACCAGCTCAAGCTGCAATAAGGGAAGATCTTCACCTCTCTCTCTCTCAGGTTTAATTTATTGGTCTCTTTTTCTCCTTCTTTTTAATTAAATTTATTACTCACTAATTTGAATAATTAATTTAATGCTAATAATTTAAAATGGGCATGCAGTATTCTATGTTTGGTTCTATACTTACAATTGGAGCCATGTTTGGAGCTGTAACGAGTGGCAGAATTGCTGATTATATTGGTCGCAAAGGGGTAAGTTTGACGTTATAATTAGGCACGGTTCAAATTTAAGTTTTGAAACTTAGCTCGATCGATACATTTCATATAGTTCAAAAAAAAATTAAAAAACGAGTTCTTCAATCCATCTGAACATATATAGCTATGCTTGCTCGTTAAGTTATGACATATATTATCGACTTAATTTTAAGGTTTTTTTTTATCTCATCTCATTGCAGGCGATGAGAATGTCAACTTGTTTCTGTATTATAGGATGGATAGCAATTTACCTTTCAAAGGTACGGAAAAAAAATTCTTTTATTTTTATTTTTATAATTTGTACTCAAAATATTTTGAAATTTAACTTCGATTCTTGACTTTTATAATATACTGTTGAGTTATATTCTATTAAATTCCTTATATAATTTCTTTTATAGAATTAATTATTGGGTTATCGTAATAAAATTGGTAGGATTTGGGATTTAAAAATTAAAAGGACCACAATGAAGAATTAAATATTTTTAAAAACAAAAAAGCATATGAAAATTTGCCTAGTTTTTGTATTTAGGAATCACTAGCATTGGACATTGGGAGGCTACTCACAGGCTATGGCATTGGAGTCTTCTCCTATGTGGTTATAATTCTCTCATCACTAACACTCTCCATTCTTAATCTTTATTTTTTTTTCCTTATTCTCCAATGTTAATGTTTTGAATTCTTAAAAACTCCAATGTGGCAAACAAATGTAGGTCCCGGTATTTATCGCTGAAATAGCACCGAAGAATCTTCGAGGAGGACTTACGACCCTAAATCAGGTGAGAAGATAAAACTTTCATTTAAGAAGAAACAATATACTCTCCCACTTACCCACATGAGTTTAGATCAGCGGTAATTGACACTGGTCTGATCTGACGAACAAGTCATGAATTCGAATCTTCTACTCCTACTTGTACTAAAAAAAAGAATACTCTCCACTCTCCCACGTCAATTTGATATGAGAAAGATTTAGAAAAAGTAAGCGAAAAATAAAGGGACTTAGACGGGTTTAAACTAATATATATGAGATATGGTGATCGACATGTACTTTAGAATTCAAAATCTTACGAGATTCCTTAACAACTAAATGTGGTGTATGATTAGATAATTATCCTATAAGATCAGTTGAATTGATTGCAAGTTTAGTCTTGATAACTTTTCTTCCTTATCTTGAGAGATCTACAATTCGCTTTTGCAGCTATTGATTGTCACGGGCTCATCAGTTGCCTTCTTACTAGGGACAATTGTAACATGGAGAACACTTGCTCTCACCGGTACACATATTTCATTTTCGTTTACGAACTTTTCAGACTTCGATTTTCATTTGAAGTTTTTATAACAATAATAATAGTAACACAACGACAAAACAGTGTCATATTCCTACGTCTTGAAGAAGAGACTTGGGAGAGAAAATCGATCTTTTTGAAAGACAAATATTAATCTTGGACTTTGATTTGAAGGACTTGTACCATGCACTATCCTTCTTGTGGGTCTGTTGTTTATTCCCGAGTCCCCTAGATGGCTCGTAAGCATCTCTCTTGCTCTCTATACTCTCGAGAAATTATTCAAAGAGGTTGGTACAATGTGGCGAAACCGCTTTTGTTGTAGGCAAAAGTTGGGCAAGAGAAAGAGTTTCTAAGTGCATTGCAGATACTTGGGGGCAAAAATGCTGATACTTCTGCCGAAGCTGCTGAAATTCAAGTAATTTTCTTTTATTTTCCTCAAATAACTTATATAGTTGGTTTCAAATTTTCAATTTTAGTTTGAAGATATACATTTTAATGGAGGTTATTGTAAGGATATTTTTATGAAACAAACAAACATTGTCGGTAAAATTGAAACCTACGTTAAAATAAAATACTTATGTCGGTGACTCTCTGTGATCACTATTGAATTTTTTACAAATAAGAGAAGAATGCAAAAACAGTTTTTTTTTTTTTTTAAATAATGAGCCGTCAATTTTTCAATCGTGATAAACATTAGAGAGAGATTTTACGATCATTACTCAAGTATTTTGTTATGTTAAAAAGACATATTTTACAAAAAAGATGTCTGCATAAAGAATAGATTTTTTTTTCCTTTTAATATGAGGAAAATTTGAACATTCGATCTCAATATAAGAATTGTGTATCCTTACTGTTAAACATATTAATATAGTTTTTCAGTCTTTTATTTATTTATTTTTCTAATTTTAATTTTCATTTCTGCATGTGAGATAATTAATTTTGGGATTTTTTTTTTGTTTCACAGAATTATATTGAAACTATGGAAAGTCTCCCAAAAACCAAGTTGGTTGATCTGTTTCAAGGCAGATACATTCGCCCCTTGATTGTAAGCAATTCCTCTTATAAATAATATATAAATCCCATCTTAAACTATAAATTTAGTTAAAGTATTTTTTGTTTATTTAATCTTTCGAATTTTAAAAAGTCTCAATTATATCCGACATTTTTAGATTATGTTTGTTTTCTACTCCGTCTTTAGCATTTTGTTAATGGTGGTAACCTAACACTACTACAAAACTGAGATTCCGTGACAGTTGTGAATTTGGAGGAAAAAAAATTGTCATAAATCATGGGACGCGTTTTTTGCGGGAAAAACACAATTTTTCGGATTTTTTTTTGTTTTATGACAGTTAAAAATTGTCACGAAAATCGAATTTTCAATGACAATAAAAAACTGTCACGAAATGGTGGAAAACACGATTTTGGTGGAAAAAAACGGTGATCTACAAAAATTTCCATGTTTTATAACATTTTATAATTGTCAAGAAAAATAAAAATATTTCAACTATTCCATGACAGTTAGCTAGACCATTGTGAGAATCTATGACATACAAAAAGTGTCACAAATTGAACACGTTTCATTTCAGTCTGAAAAACTGCAACTTTATAGATATTAATTATTTTGGGATTCTCGGATCGTATCATATATAAATTTATGATTAATGGTTTTCCTAAATACTTCATGAAATAAGTAGAAAATGATATTTACAAAGAGACTAAATAGAAATATAATTAAACGCTTGCAGACATATTTAAAATATTTTAAATTTAAAAACTAAATAGACACCGGTGCATATACTAAATTTATAATTTTATATTTTTCCCTATATATTTTTTTTCGTTGACTTTGTTTTTGATAAATGGCTATTCACTTTGTAGATTGGGGTGGGATTGATGGTCTTCCAACAATTTGGAGGGATCAATGGAATAGGTTTCTTTGTCAGTGAAACTTTCGCCTCTGCAGGTAAGTTTCCGTTCAGCAACGTTGATATTTTTTGTTTCTATTTTTTTTTATTTTTAATAAAAAAATAAAATTATATGACCTCAATATTTATAAATTAAAAAATGATAAAACAATGTTTTTATTTATGTTTTGAAATAAATTGATACTGTAACCAAAAAAAATTATTTTCTTTTATGCTTCCAAAATTTTTATACAATTTTGAGACCGTTTCTAACAAAAAGTTGCGGTTTCCCAATTAAATTGGGGAGAAAAACAAGAAATGGAAACGTTACCAAATGAGCCTTAAATTAGCACAGATTATTCAATTATACTATCACTTTTGTAATTGTTAGATACACCAGAGAAAAAAAAAATGTATGATCGGTGATGATCATTAGTCTCATTTTCAAATCTATGTATTAAATAAGGAATGAGAATGTTATACGTCAAATTTGAATGCTACGTGAAACTAATAGCGTAGGTTTTTGAAATGAGAATGTTAGTTCCCGACCGTTAGCAGTTAATCTACAGCGAAAATGTGCTTATTTTATATGAAATTTCAGGTCCATCGGTAGGCAAAGTTGGAACTATTGCTTATGCTTGTATTCAGGTACTTAAAACTTTGAGACACCCTTTTGACCAAATTTCCTTAAAATTTAATCACAATAATTAACCACAAAATTGACTCATATATACAGGTTCCAATCACTGTGGCTGGTGTAATCTTAATGGACAAATCTGGAAGAAGGCCTCTTATAATGGTAATTTCTCACTCGTTACGATGAAAATCTCGAGATAAACATGGATGGATAGACAAAGAAAACCGCAAGAATGCATAATTTTTTTACAAAAGAACACTTTTAGAAGTGAGTGGACTGTTCTACCGACCTCAATTACTTAGATTCTGTTTGATAACGATTTCATTTTTAGTTTTTTGGTTTTAAAAATTATGCTTGTTTTCGCGCAATTTCTTTAATATGTTTTTCACATTTCTTCCAGACACATTTGAATTCTTAGTTTTTTTTTTTAAAACATGCTTTTTAGAAACTTTTTTTTTTTATAATTTGACTTAAATTTTGAGAACGCTGGTAAAGAGTTGATAACAAAAAAACAAAAGGGTTCTTAAGCAAGTTCTTATTATTTCAAAGATCACATTTATGGGATTCTTTCATCAAAATTTAAAAAATTCTTTTATCACTCTCAAAATACAATTAATGATAATCAATAAGAAGAAATGGGTGTAAATTAGAAAATGATGTTTTTTCTTTGTTTATGAAGGTATCTGCTGCTGGGACTTCTCTGGGTTGCTTCCTTGCAGGAGCTTCTTTCTTTCTCAAGGCAAGTAATCAAAATTTCCCCTCTTCAACTTCCATTTCTGTTTCAATATAGCTTATGAAAATCTACCTCTACTTTCATTCTTAAACTTTAGGGCCGCGGTTTGCTGCCCGCGTTCGTGCCCGTGCTCGTGGTCGTCGGTGTGCTGGTATGGATATATATTGATCTTTTTTTAACTAGCTACGTTGAAATATATATTTTTTTCTCCGATCAAGCTCTAAAGTTTATTGAAAATATTGATTGTAAATCATTCAAGGAGAAAACTATGGAAATCACACAATCTTACGGGGTTATAATAATGATCATAATTAGTATTTATATTTACTTTAGAATGTTGGACAGATAAATTTGCCGTATCCCATCAACTTTAGTTTTTGAGTTGATTGGTGACTTAACATGTTCAAAGGAGGAGGTCCGATGTGTTTGAACCTTGTAATGTCATTTCCTCCGATCCCCTATTAATATTGATTACCACTCGTTGAGCCTTGTACAAATTTTTAAGTCCACAAGTGAATAGAAACCCATAAACTTACCCAGAAAGTTTTATGTTCGAACTCCTATTAGCTTAAGTTTTTGAGTTCAGTAGTAGCAAAAGAAAATTCCTATTTATTGTTCATTCATGTCGATTTTTTTTTTT